ACACATACGTTTCCCTCACCAATTTTCCTCCCTTTTCCATACAAAGTATGTGATTTTTAATTTTTTTCCCCTCCCACACTCCATCCTTTCCTTTTTCTTCTTTTTCCTTAGATGCCATCTTTGGAACAGAGCTTCCCACAACATGTTTTGCTGATACCATCTGCCATATCTATACCATAATATCTGTGTACCCCATGAAGAGATTTCTTTCATTTTCATTTTTTCACTAGGTTTTAAATAAGCAAGATTTTATAGGATTGTATCTCTTTCCCTATGAAGCAGGTATGGTGGGTGCTATTTCATTGTTTTAGATCAAGAATCAGAGGGGATACAGGCAAGCAAAGGTTCATCAAAAGGCCCATAAATGGTTCCTGTGGGATTCAAGACTACAATGCAATCAAAAGATCCATGACTCAGGTTCCTGTGGTTATTGGAAGCCAAAACGTCTGAAGAGAAGCAAAACCCAAATCTTAAAAATCACAGGCTCAGGCCCTTACCCAGCAATTCTCTGCTGTTAGTGTATTTTGGGCAGCATTCTGGGTGACATGTTTTCCCCCCACCCGTCCCTGGTCATGTCTCACCATTTAATTTTATTTATTACAGCCAGGCAACACGTTGTCAAAGTCACTGTAGGAACACACATTGTCAAATTCACTCTAGGAACACAGCATTAGCTTGGCCACACAGATAAGAATGATCCCTGTAGATAGAGTTTTAAATCAGCTCTGTGGAACGCAGATGTTAGCTGTCACCTGTCAAGGAAGCAGGGGGATCTCAGCACTCTTAGTTATATTTGGAGGTGACACAAAGTGACATGTTAAATCCATAGCTTTTGGAGGGAATGCATTTGAGTATCAACAAAAGTGACAGGGCACCAGACAGAGACTGTGAGTGCATGCCATTAATCCTTTTACGGTAGTTGAACGAACCTGGTTACACAGTGTAGGACCTGAACTCTGCCTGGATATTTATTCCAAAATTTTGAGATGGAAGATCAGAGTCTAGTTAATATGTGCAATTGCTTAAGTAACATGTATGTACCACATATAGTTTTTGATGGATTATTTTTTTTTGCTTTTCTTATTCTTTTTTATTTTTCAGTTTAAATTTAGATAAGAAACAAGGTTGCTTCACAAATCAGTTCCAGGTCCCTCTCCCTTTCCCTCCTCTCCTCCCGTGCCCTCCCCCCAACCCCCCCATTATCCCCTCATTTCTCCAGGGAGGGTGAGGCCCTCCATGGGGGTGTCCATAGTCTGTCATTTCATATAGGGCAGGGCCTAGACCCTTCCCCAAGAGTTCAGGGTGAGAGTGCACCTCACATTGTTCTATGGGAGTCCAAAGTCCGTGTGTATACTTGGGATGGGTACTGATCTGCTGTCCAAGGCTCAATAGATTACCTAGACCTCCTCACTGACACCCAGATTCAGGGGGTATTGATCAGTCCCATGCTGGATTCCCAGGCTGATGCCTGGGATTCAAGAGTTAACCTTTGTCTGGTCAGCTGTTTCTGGGGGTTAAACCAGCCCATTCTTAATCCCTTTGATCATCAGTCCTCCCTCTCTGTTACTGGCTTTCTTGAGTTCAGCTCAGTGCTTAACCGAGGGAGTCTGCCTCTGCTTCTTCTTTGATGGATTATATTATTATTATTATTATTATTATTATTATTATTATTATTATTATTTTGTTTTTGTAAGGCAGGGTTTCTTTGTATAGCCCTGGCTCTCCTGGAACTCACTCTCCAGACAAAGCTGGTCTGAAGTTCAGAGAACCTCTTGCCTCTGTCTCCTAAGTGCTAGAACTAAAGCTGTGCACCACCACCTTCTGAGCTTGGTAACTTATTTAGGAGAGAGATGGTATCAAGTTTCCATCTATCATATGGACATTTTCCTTGGACTGGCATGGCGCACTGTTTCTTTGTGTGTCTTCTCAGTACAGTACTATATCTATCCTTTAGATGTTAAATACACCTGAAAATTAGTTTCTTTTATGGAAAACATGAGGTGATCATGAGGAAGTCTGGAAACCATCTTTCCAGGAGAAAGGATGTGTTATGGAGTTGGTGTGGTCTCATCCCAGGAGGAGACCAGACAGTAAACAAGAGACATGGCAATGCCCAGACCAGGGAAGTCCCTGGTGTGGCTATCTTGGTTTGAGTGATCCATTACAGACTTCAAAGCAAGAATTTGGGACTAAATCTTCAAGCGGGAAGTGATTCTAGAAAGAAGTTGTGGGAGTTGTGATGTAAGACAACACAGTATTTCATTGAGTGGGTTTTAACACTGAGCAGCAGGGACTATCTGCATCACTTAGCACAAGGTTGGGCAGTTTCACCCTCCAGGCTTGTCCATGACTACTGGGTCTGGCAGAGAGATGCAGATGCTGTCCTGTGTTTGGGAACGGTGGGGTCCTCATGTGCCATATAGGGTGAGCTGAGAACTTCTACTATAATTAGGAAATCCATAGAGCTTAGAATATGGTCCCTGAGTCCCCTGACATGCTGAACAGGCTGTGAAGTCACTTTCCTGACTAGCTTGGATGTGGTGGTATGCCTAGTTTATTCAATGCACTGATGATCCCCACTATTAATAGATGCCTGGGTACTGGACACTTTGTATATATTTATTTAAAACACCACTGAACTTTAATATTGGGTTGCATTTTAGGTGAGGGATATTTGAAACTATGTATAAGAGAAGAAGTGAGGCATGCCTAGTCCTCTATGGTTAAGAACCATGTTTATTGTGTGCATGTGAACTTCCTTAAGTAGAAATGACAAATGTCTTGATTAGAAAAAATTCTCCTCTATTCAATGTGACATGTGTAGTGTGGAATATTTTCTTGAAATGGATTTGAGGTCAACATAGTTAGTGGGTGGGAACTACACATTTTCCTTGGACCTCTAAGAAACCTTCTCCTTCTTACTAAATTGTCTCCGTTAAAATTAGTAACAGAAAGAGTGACCACACCAAAGCTTTCTTGTGGAAATATGAGGATCTTGGCAACAGTCCCAAGGAGTAGAGAGTACCCAATGTGGGCAACCATATAGAGGATGAACTTCCCCACATGATGATGGGAGGGCAGATAACCCACAGAGTACATGTCTGGCAAGGGCTGGTAATCATAATGCTGGAAGTAACTGTCCCATTGCTCAGAGTGAACACCTCAGAAAGCCACTGGTGTCAAATCCAAGCAGTGTGCAAAATATTGCAACTTATCAACTATCAGATATGCTTCCCCCCAAAAAGTAACTCAGAGAAAATATAGAGTCGCTGTTTTTTACTATTTCTCATCAAAGTCTTTCTGGTTTGGCAGTATGACAGCCTAATGATTTTTAACTATGTTTCTATAAAAGCAACACATGTTTTTCCTGCTGTTTGGATACATTTTCTGTGCCCTTGGGGGAGGTTGGACCTTGATGAAATGCATTTAATATAGTTCCAATAGTCTACATTGTCTGACTCTGTCAACATGTGTACACTGTCATTTTCATTTTAGACTTTTCTATTCTTCTGTTTCCTTACCACATATATATTAAGAACATACATAAAGTATACATGTTAAATATATACACACAATGTATCAGCAAGGATTCAGCCAGGAAAGCAAAAACCACTCATGTTATTTGACACAGGCATGTTTTAATTTATGGAACTTGTTGAACAGAAATTAGAAGATTAGCATGTGTTAGAGAAATAAAAGCTATTATACACAATCACTTTCTTGGGGTATGAGAGCAGAGGAAGGACCTGGGTCAGGAGAAACTTAGAAGAGACACACTGTGGAGCTGCATCTATGGGGACCTAATGAGACTAGTTTTAGAGCATGAGACAAAAATAAACTCTCGAAACCACAGAGCTGAAGGATGGGTTCCTGTGCCGGCTAGTTTAGTGTCAACTTGACACAGACTAGAGTCATCTAAAAGGAGGGAACCTCAAATGAGAAAATTCCTCCATGAGATCCAGTTGTAGGTCATTTTCTTAATTAGTGATTGATGGGGGAGGACCCAGCCCATTGTGGGTGCTGTCATCCCTGGAATGGTGGTCCTGGATTCTATAAGAAACCAGGGTGAGCAAGCCATAAGGAGAAAGCCAGTAAGCAACATCCCTCTATGGTCTCTACATCAGCTCCTGCCTCCAGGTTCCTGCCCTGCTTGAATTCCTTACCTGACTTCCTTTGAGGATGGGATATTAAGTGGAAGTGTAAGACAAATAAAACATTTCCTCCCCAACTTGCTTTTTGTCACAGCATTTCATCACAGCAATAGGAACCTTAAGTAGGACTGTTCCCAATCTACTACTAGGTTAAGGGGTAGGGTTATGGGATTGCCCAGTGGAACTGTATGCCGTCAGAGCAACAGCACTTCCTTCTCTTATCATCGTGAGTGTACCTTACTGACCATTCTTACGGACAGATAACTCATGGCAGCATAGAAATGATGTACAGAGTCCCAGCCCCAGAATCCAAGGCAGCCTTTGTGAGGTATCTTAGAGCTGAAGCACTGTCTCATAATGGCCATAATGGATTGAATCACGTGAAGTTTCTGATGCCTGTTTAAAAAAACATCTTTTAATCAACAAAAATAGTTTCTTGTTTTTTTTCTTTCTGGAGAATAAACTCAGTGTCTTGAGCGTGCTAAATGAGTGTTCTACCATTGAGACCCATCCCCAATCCTTCATCTCTTGAGATAGGCTTTTATTGTATAGCCTTCTCTAAAACTCAGGAGCTCCTGATCTCAAGGGTTGGGATATAAGCATATCCCACTACATCTGACTAACAAGTGTGTTTTGATCCAGTTTCCTACAGTTCCAACAAATCCACACCATATATATATATATATATATATATATATATATATATATGCACTCACAACCAAAGTTTTAAGCAGGAGGGAAATGTTTTTATACTTAAGCAGGCCAAAGGAAGCTGGCACCATTATCTGAGTGAGATAGAATCTATCTAATGTCAGTCTCTCAATGAAGGGCATTCATCCTGCAACCAAATTATAATTACATTGGCATGGCTTTACTTGGTGTCTTTTTAACTCTGCACAGTGTTTTCTCATCAAGGATACATCATTACTTCATCCTCTTTCCTTGCCTGTGACCTATTGAGTCTTCAAGGATCCACACAGGCACATTCCACTGAAGCTCCTTCGTGTCTAGATTAGAAGGGGGAACACAGGGCAGTGCCGATCAATGGTAGAAGTACTTGCTAAGCAAATTCCCAAGTACAATACATACATACATACATGCATGCATACACACATACATACTTACATATGTACACACAGAAAGAAATAGAGAACGGAAGGAAGGAAGGGAGAGAGAGAGAAGGGGACAACGGGAGAGAGGGAGGGAGAAAAGGAAGAAGGAAAGAGGGAGGAAGGATAAGGAAGGAATTTTCTAGTTTGCCTTATTTACTGTAGGGGAGGTGCACACCTGTTAATCCCAGTACTTGGAAGGGAAGAGCAGGAAGACGATGAATTCAGCTTCGTCTACACAGTGAGTTCTAGGCCAGAGTTACATAACAAGACCTTGCTTCAAAAATGAAAATGAAACAAAATGGGAAGAGGGAAGTAGGAGAGACTATGCCCACCATGGTTTCAACGAAGACTGCCTACCTGTTAGTAGTTTCAGATGCTTGCATGCTTTTCAGGCCTGGCAGTCTCAGTTTAAAAGGAGGAAGGCATGTTTGCTTTTTCTTTATGGGAGTGATTCAGAGGCCGTTGAGTAAGTCATCAGTAAGGCACACGGTGTGCTCATAAGAGGCCAAGTGCTCCTTGGGCGTCATTCAATGGCCATTGTGCTTTTCCTTAGTGCCACCGTGCTGATTTCCACTTGGTTTATGTATTTTCCATCATTCAGTTTCAACACAGTACAAAAGAAGAGAGAATGAGACCTGGGAGGATAGGACAGAAAGAATGAATCAGAGCATCTCTGATGTGTTTGCATAGCTTCAATGTGAATCTGATTTCAGCAGGGCCGTCCCTGAAAGAGTCTATCCATCCTCCTAAGCTACTGGTTCTCCTTTCCTGGACCCCTGGTGCCTGAAGTCGCCTCTCCTCTCTCTGACAAACCAATGCCACAATTTCAAAGTGATTCAAAGTCACCCAGCACTGCCTCCTCATGCCACCTCTTTCACAATAGTCAGGAGTAGAGGAAACTGACAAACAAACTATTTTTGCACCAGAAGTTGGCCCAACTTTCAGGCATAATAACAGCAAGCAGTGTTTGTGGGATAGTCTACTCATGAAAGATGACTGTAATTGCCTTCCAGATGCCAGGGATAAGTGTGCATGTTGAAATCAGCTGAACTCTTTTTAGGCTTTTCAACATCCAACCTCTAGAGGCCCAAGATGGTTGCCAGCTTGGCTGATAGTATGGCGATCATCTCCTCCACTAACCCAAATGTGTGCCGGGCACTTTGTTTACCCGACACTTGGTGTGTTTGTAATCTTGGATGGATCAAATGGCACTTATTAGCACACACAGGCCCTTTCCAGAGGGACTCATTATTGCTTTCACTGCTTAGAAAATCCTTTTGTGTTTAATCCTCTCTGTGCTTTTATTTTTTTTTTCCATCCCATCTGTCAGTGGGCTTTTGTGCCCTGCAGGTCAGAATATCAATGCTGCGCTCTCCCTTCCCCAGCACCGCTCCTGTCTCTGAAGTCCTTTCACTGGGGAAGGCTGTTGGAACAACTTTCACAGGGCAAGTGGGAGAGCCCGAGGGAGAGCTAAGTCAGTGGAGTCACTGCATTCTACTTCATAGGGCAGTTTCTAGCCTGGTGGGGAGCCTCCTGATTTGGACATAATGGCACATTCTTAACTTGAGAACACCCACTTGGTGCCTTTTTGTGAGTGTGTGCAGTTCAAGGATAACCTGTGGGAAGATGGGGTGTTCTAAATACAATGGTGGTACCCCTTCACATTTTCTTTCTCTGTTATAAACATGGGTGCCTGTGGGAAGCATATCATGCCATGGTGAAATGATTGGGGAAAAATAGGTTCCCAGTTTTTCCAGATAATTCCAAAATGTTTTTACTTCTTGCATATACTCAGTGGGAGAGTTTCTAAGGCATGGATAGGGTGAGGTAGGGTTGGCATCCACTTTGTCGGAAGACAGGACGATCTGACAAAAAGGCAAGGCAAGGTTCACAGGTCTGCTATCTTTCAAGCTTCCATCTTGTTTTGTAATTGGTGAAAGTCAGCAAGAAGTAGGACTGAGATAGCAGTTTGGCACAGGTGGAAAGTGATGACAGCTAGAGTGTCTCACCATCTAGTCTGTGGCCTCTGCATCCGAGTTACAAGGAAGGCATCACAGAAAGTCATTTCCAGTGCTCATGCCAGGCCTACTGATTCACCATTCTAGGTCTTAGTGTCTAGTAGGCATTCTCAGCTATTCTGACACACACCAAGATGTGAACAATTACTGTACAGAGGACCAAACACCAAAGCCAGATGGCATCAGTGAGTCTAGAGCATCCCCTCTGCCTTAATTAGAACAACGTAGTGCTCACACTGGATAAGCCTATCCTTCCTTCTACAAGAAAAGTTTGTCAGAGAGTCCTCTCCCAGTTTGAGTAGACCAGTTGGCCATATTCTCATCTCATGTGTTATATGCCTTTTTATCCATGAAATTTTTCTCACTATTTTAAACACAACAGCTACAAAAGAAAATAAAAATAACAGTGTTCTCCTATTATCTGGAGGCTGGGGTGGGGGGCAGGTGTTAAAGTAAACAGAGATTCAAGTAACAATCCTTTTCTGAGTCTGAACTGTGATCACTTTCCTCGGACCTTACAGAAAAATGAGTGACGGTACTCTGATGCCTGAAATCACCTTTGAAAAATCAGTTCACATGTAGCTCTGTGACTTGTCTTGCACCTGAAGTAATAGTTCATTTCCTTCTGCATTTTGATGAAAATATAGCATGAGAAGCATGCTGGTAAAGACCAAAGAAACTTGGGATAATCTCGTCAAGCATCTAAGGCTATTTGGTCTCCAGAGGCAAAAATCAGTGCCACAGACAGGTGCTTTTGTCATCTGCACATTGCTCGGCCACCAGGTCTGTCTTTGCACCTGCTGGCTGGACAGGACAGAAAGTAACACAGCCTCCAGAGCCTGGTTATTTCCACACATCCCACGTAGTCCTCCCCGCAGAGCAAGCGATTTGTGCTCAGCTTCTCCCTGTTGATTCTCTGAACCAGGCAGGCTTATCCCCTAACCCTCCAGGGCTGTTTGTCCTATTAGCCTTTGCCTTTTCACAAATGATCTTTTGTTCACCTTGTGCCTGGATGTAGCTCCATCTTTTCTTCTCTTTCATTATATAAAAGAAAAAGAAGCAAAACCAAAATTAAAAAAAAATGTAAAGAGTTAACAATAAGAACAAATATCCCAGAATGAGGGGAAGGAAGAGAGAAGGATGACCTCTGGCTGGTCAGTCCGGATGACATGATTCATAGGCTGGAAGGACTCCGTTGGCAAGGGCCACGGGGAAGGGTCACCTTGTAAGGAAATAATGTGGTCGTGTGACAAAGCGCTAAGGATGAGAGAAGCCGCGAAGTTTCTGCTGCTGAACAATGCCGAAGTTCACTGCTGTCCTCAGGTGCAAGGGAGAGAATAGGCCCTCATTGTTGTAGCCGCTCAGCACCTGCCTTTGTTTCTCCTTCCCTTGCGGTGGCATTAACACTATCTTGTCGATCTGTAGACAGGCTGGCATAGGACATAGCCACTGACGGACAGTTAGCCCGTCAGTGCATCAAAATGGCTTGGCCTTGTTGATATGTGTCTCTGAGCACTCCTTGATGAGACATCTAAGTAACTGAAACCTTTACCAGACACCAGGCTTCATGAGGAAGCTTAACCCTTTTTTGGCTAGCTACGGTGCTTTGGGCTGTCGCCTGCTGCAGCTTAAAGACTTAACAAATTAGACTTGGCAATTATGGGCATAAATACTCTAAGTATTCATGTCTAATTCCCAATTCCATGTGATATGTTCACTTGCCTTAAAAAAAGCTAAGTCACAGCATGCAGTGTGCATCAATTTACAGTCTCCAATTTGCACAGCTCTCATAACACATGCTCCGTTGTAGCTACCATCCAATGGAGATGGGAGACATTACTAAAACCCACAAGAGCTCTACTCTTTCTCTTCCCAGTTAGTATTGACCCAACCAAGACATACTGTTCTAACTTCCATTTCCATAATACATTTCGTCCTAAATTTTCTATGAATAGTGCAATATGAATATTTGATTCTTGAGTTTGGCTTCTTTCATTTAAAATTATGCTTATAAAATATTCTTTGTATAGTTATGTAATATTCCACTGTATGCATTTAAATTCTTTTTGGTGTGTGTATGCATGTGTGTGTGTGAGAGAGAGACAGAGAGAAACAGAGACAGAGACAGAGAGACAGAGAGAGGGGTCTTATTATCGAGTCTATGATGGCCTTAAACTCACTATGTGGCTTAGGCAGTCCTTGAACTTATGATCATGTCTCAGCCTCTCAAGTACTGAGCTTACAGGTGTGTACTACTGTTACCTGGCACAGTTTATCAATTTTCCTTTTGTTGATCATTTGGAGCCTTAAAGACAATTTTTATATAAGTCTTCTATATGTAACCACTTCTATTGGGCGTGCCCACGCATGGAGTCGTAAGGTGGAAGGTTATGCCTTTCTTTAAGAAATGTTGCTCAGGAGGACTAACCTGCCCTCCCTCATCTGCCATGTGGTATCATGGGTGAGGGGGAAATGCTCTTTCTCCTCTTGCACCTTTCCACTTGTATCCAACGTGAGAACTGCCCCAGGGCCACATGAGTGGGAGAGCTGTCCCTGTCCCTCAGCAGCTGCAGCACACAGGAGAGCAGGCCCAGCACCTTGCCTGGGCAGTGTGCTAGAGCTGACCAGGTTGCCAGGGAGGGGCAGGTGAGCTGGGCCTGTGGGCATGAGAGCAGGAAAGCAGTCTCCGCCCCTCCCTCATATGCCAGAGGATGGCAAGGGTCAGGGAGCTTTGCCCTCCCCTCTACCTCTTGTCACCTGGAACAGGTAGGAGAACCAACTTTGGGGGTACGAAAATGGAAGAGGCGGCCCTTGCACCTTGCCAAGTGCAGCAGCCTGGAGAGCAGGTCCTGTACCTCACCTGGGCAAAACAGTAGAGCTGGCCCTGGTGGTGTGAGTGCAGGTAAGCTGGACCAGAGGGTGTGAGAGCAGAGGACTGTCCCACCTCCTTGCTGTTTGCTACATTGGGTGAACGAGCCAGGGCAGTGCACCCAGACCAGGAACCAGGGCTATGAGGTAGTCCTCCTCATCTATGAACTGCTGGAACCTATGAAGGGATCAGACCTGTGGATACAAAGCTACAGGATCTCCATGACACAGGGCAACAGCAGGATATCCAAGAGGAGGCCCAGTAAGAGCCCAGTATCCAGGGTGTAGCAGAAGCCAGAGGCATCTGGCCAGACTAGTGACTCATTGCAGTGAACACTGACAAGGAAAGGTGTGTGCTGTGTGACTCACTGGGCCACACTATCGCTTCCATGACGAGATTTTTTTATTTGCTTGTTTTGCTTTTTGGTTTTACTTTTAAATTTTATTTTGGAGGGAGGTTGCAGGGCAGAGAGTGGAAGCAA